TACCACTTTATTCATATAACATATTATAATAGTCTTACATAAAAAAGTGTCCTAAAGAAAAGCTATTATATTCTAAATAAATTCTCTTTTCAACAACTTGCCTTGTTTTTCAGTGCACCTATAATTAAAGTGATTGATTAGTGAAAATAATGAATAGCTTGCACTATTAAATATTCATAAAATTAAAGTTATTAACTTGATTACATCTTAAATGTATGTTTAACCAGCCGATAAAATTCCAATAAAACTTTGTTAAATGGTGTTTTGATTACAAATTATATTACTATAATAAGTGGATGGCGATAAGGTCACTGCAACTGGTTATCAAGAAACGAACTCAGTTCACTTGCAATTTCTTATTTCTTACCTTCTCAGAATTCATTTAATAATATGTACTTCCGGTAATATAGCGAAACTATGCATTGAATTTATCAAAGAGTTATTACTTTGTAAACTGTGATAAATAGACGCGGTGATCTTGGATAGCTTCAGCGATCAACAAACAAGACAAGTAGTCTTGTTTTATTACTCTCCTTTCTTACATCAGGGTAATATAGAAGTCTATTTGATTTAGTAGTGATTGGAGATCGGAATAGTACGAGAATTTTAACGAAACTTAATGTTAGGATAGTTTTTAAATAATTTACACAGAAATTCTTTAACAATTGTAAGAACTGAGACGAATGTTTAATTTTGAGAAGATGCAATTGTTTTTCTCATACACGATGTTTTTGAATTTCAATTAAAATTAATCATATAAACCTAATATAGTAATTACAAATGTTAGTATACATATATTATACTTATATGTTATTAAGACACTTAATTGAGTTAATCAAATTCTATTTAATTATTTATTATACATAGTAGATATAAATTTCTGTATTACACTAAACGCTTTTCACTAAATATAGGTTAGGGTTCAGTATTATTAACGTTATTGTTAAGAATGTTGCTTATAATAATTGGACACTATTTTAGAAGAACTATTAATTGAAATTATATTAATATCATAAATCAGAGGGCATGACTTCTGAAAGCTGTAATATGTGCAGATAATATCGCATATAATCGGTTTCTCTCGACTTTTAAGAGAACTATTCATACTAATGTGTCTTATAAGATATTCTTCAAAATATTTTGTTTGCGCTATCGGATTGCAACAGAATGGTACTCGACAAAAACCAATGTGGATCAAATTTTTTTTACTGCAGCAAACTACCGATTGCAAGTAATCGAGGTTATAAGGAAATAATAGAATAAAAGTATAATTTTTGATGCATATTGTGTGACGCCTGGAAACTAAACTAAAGAATTCTTCATATTATTACATGAATAGAAAATTGTGAAATATGTCAAATCACACAGATTAAGATAGATAGCATATGTTACAAATATAAACGTTGAAATGACATACGAAAAAGTTTTTGATTACAGCCTAGGGTATACCAATCTACAAAAGACATCATTACACAAATTCCTGATTATAGCCCTCAGAGCAGCAGAAGCACTTGGTATCAAAAATCGTAAATATTTGGTTATCTTTTTTCAATGGATAATATTGGCTTGGTGAATAGAGGGCAGCATCGCTGCCCTTAAACCTTTAACAGTCCATA